AATAAAATGGAATTTACCTTCTCTCATGAATTCCACCACTTTTCTCTCTATATGAAATTACTAACACCGAATTCTTACTATTTCATCTAAAGGCTGACGTAAATGTCTGTCACATATATTATTTGAACGGTCTGTTACCCTGCTAGTGGCAACTCGGGAATTCAAAGCTTACAGTGGCGTGACTGATATCACGGTTATATACTATGCTTCCAATGTAGCGTAATGTCAGACTAGTATTACTGATGTCAAATCCCCGCTAGATACGTATACGTCGCTAATTAATGAGGCTATCTATGTGGTGAAATATTCCTTTTATTTTTGGTTCCTCTTCAGATTATGTAAAAGATCTAAATAAAGGCAGGTGTTGTGGTTTTAATCCATATCTAGTCTGGCTGGGAAATTAAAATATATTCAGTTACAAAAGAAGCGACTTTAGCCTTGTTATTTTTACAAATAAAATCGCACATACCTGCTATACAATACAAAAATGAAATGAAATGAAATAGGGTTAACGTTCGACTGTTCTGCTCCAACTGGGCTAATAAAGACGTGTGTAAGGTCTACTCGAATTACAACTGCCAAGGGTTATTTTTCGTGCACAGTAATGTGTACACGGGACCTCGGATATTCGTACTTTCCGAACCACTGTACGTTGTGCCTTTGAAGGCCTTCTATCTTGCACCTTTGACAAGGGGGAACCAAGTCGGAAAATCCCTATGAACTTTCCCGGACAAAACCGGGATTGAACACGAGATCTACGGGTTAGCTAGCCAACGTCTTACTCGCCGTTCCACCATGGCCATACAAATGCATTACTAAAAAGACAATAATACACAGTAAAGCATCAAAACGTATAAATAATCAGTACAACACCAAATCAAAAGATACATAGTTATGACACTCATTTGGTTGTTGCTAAGTTCTCAAATAAGATGTTCCATAAAGACAATGAAAGGGGGTGCAATAAATTAATTCTCGGCTGCTATAAAATAGATTCCATATGAACGAGGGAACCAGCTTGATAAACAGTTGGTGCTTTCTTCACTCGAATTCCATGTATAGTGAACCGAGCGAACCGGTTTAATAAGTTTTAAAACATACACTGCCCACCGGTTTGAGGCTCGGCAATATTAACCCCACGACCTGTTCACATCAGAGATTATTATGTGCGATATTGGCAAGTGGTCTATGGACAATAACAGGGCCCCGTTAGAGGAGGGGTAGGAAAGACGTCCTGTCCAGGGGCCCGGAGCCTAGACGGGCCGGGACTCTAGAGGCGCCCGGGGGTATGCAGAGTAATGTATCAAAAAAAGTGTTGGTATAAATTAATAACAAAAATATACTGTTACTTGCTAGTAAAGTAGAATAAACTCCGTGACATTTCTGAATGTGGGTACCTAGATGATTTGTTTGACACGTACTGTTAATTTTGACAAGGCTATTGATGAGTTCGCTTCCAAGTGTGCAGGCATAGTTCAGTTTGAATTCAAGTTAACATGATTTTGAGTATTGAATAAAAAAAGCGAATAGCTTATGTGATGGAAATATTTTCGTTTTGATATTTGTCTGATGGTCACGGTTTTTGTTTTTCCATTCGTTTGCTTGCTTAATATTTCCTGTCAAAATCATGTACATCTGATTATTATTACGTCAGTATAACTCAAACATAGTACATTTATTTCGTATGTCACATCATGTGTTAAATCTCAGTTTATGTGATCCAGTTGCCGCAGATATACGCAAAAATGACACTAGAGAAAATGTATCTTTCAAAAATTTTCGAGCCCTGAAGACGCCCTCCCCCCCGGAGGGCCCTGTCGAGGGCCCTGGCCAATAAGCTAGAGATATCGCTGAGACAAAGCTGCAGTCGGCCGTCTTTTCATTGGGACGTATTTTCCACTTAAAAATATTATGAAACAGGGGAAAGTAATATATCCAAAGTCAATGGTCGTAAGCGAGATTGTCAAGTTTAGGTGCAAACAACTCGCCTGAAACCGATTCTGTTTCTGGAGGCAGACCACCATTAAATTTCACCATCTTAGTACCCACAAATTGTAGTTTGCCTATTTATAGCAATTCTCTCTGTGTCGCTTTTCTCCCCTTTTGCATTCCCATTTTTGTTGATTGTTTGGTCTAGAATGCACGAAGAGGGTTTGAATTAAAATTTTCTGATAGGTTTTGGTAAATATTCATGATTTTGAGGCGGAAGGATAACGGGTTTATCCGTTTGGCTACGGTGATATGTACGGCAACTAGTTACATGTTTTTAGTATGCTTCTTCAAGTTTGTGTAGCTCAAAATTTTGGTGGTCAACCTCATACAAATTTTAGTGCAAAGACATGACCATTTGTTCATTTGGGTAAAATAAACGTCGTAGAATCGGTTGTTTAGGTCTATTTTTTAATAAACGTCGTAGAATCGGTTGTTTAGGTCTATTTGAAATCTCTTAACGCAAAAAAAAGTGAAGACAAAAGAAAATTGCAAATAGAAAAGGATAAGTGCTCCAACCCAACCCACTCCCATCCCCCACCAACGCCCTGTGCACCCCAAGAAGTGAAGACAAAACAAAATTGCAAATAGAAAAGAATAAGTGCTCCAATTTTTCAGAATATAATACTATGAAGATCAGCCTAACGTTATCTGTACTCTTTGATTACCCCGTGCGACGTATTACGGACAGTATATATATTTGGAAATACGAAATAGGATGGAACATTCTAGATGTAATTGAATCTTTATATTGTTCCGGTTTTTAAATTTTGTTTTCGTCTTCACCACACGAGGATCTAATTACTTCCTTATAGTTTGTATGTCCTGTTTCAATTCTGGTTAGATCATGTCACTGTGATTGATTAAAATCATTCTTACCCCAGACAACGTTCATTGGTCAGCAGACCTCTAAAAGTCAACTGTAATGGGGGATCAACATAAACAAAATAAAGTACATGCTCAAATACCTACGCAGCTAACGTTCGAAAAGTAAATGGTAGCCAGCATTTTTTCTCCGCAGGATAGTGTGTCTCTGATGTTCAGAATGGTTCGAATAAAGTAACAAAAGTACGCACTAGTATTAAAACTGCTGATTTTTCGGACAATATCCAATTTTTCATGAATAAAAATAGCATTATGTAAAATTTAGGGGCTGTCATTCTTGCTACAATAGTTTACAAATAGGTCACGAATAAAGAATATATTGAAAATTTCAACCAAATAACTTTATTCTACTGTCTGAACCGTGATAAATTTTAAACGGATTTCTTCGATTGTGAACAAACTGCGGAATAATTGTTATTAAAAACTTGCCTATGTGTTTGAAATCACCCCCGGTTGAATAAAATCCATTGCACAATTAAATATCCCAACGAAAAAGTTTTCTCTTGAAAAGTCAATTTTTTTCAACAAAATAACATTAATTTGGAAACAATTGATTGTCAGTCTACTAAATTTTATTCATTTGTAAAGATAATATTGCTTTTCACATATACCCTGTATATTATATATATTTTTATAAAACATATTACATCCCGGTCAATTATAGGCAACTTTGTGGCTAACATTTATAAATAAACACACTTTATTTCAGAATTTTAATTGATCATATTTCATAACGCGGGGTCTAATCCCTTAAACTATGAAGAAAGGCCACCGCTTCTCAATAAATTCCATATTTTATTCACGTTCAGACTGTTCATGTCAATAATATTCATCATTAAATTAGTTTCTTTTTGTTTATTCGACAGATACTGAAATCGAAACATTCTTGATAAGAATAGTTGGGATGTCTAAACATCGTTTATCGTCTTTATAAAAATGTATTTAAAAAAAAAATCATTCGTCAAAAGAGGCATCGCAGATTGCGTGTATTATTGGGTCTTGTGTGTTAATTATGCAGACAGTGGGGAAAACTCGTGCAAGTTTCGCGCTAAATTTAACCATTTTCACTGCATCTGTGTAGCATACAATAACTCATATGACATGGTACCTATTACGGTAATAGAATTCAAAGCGTTGATTGGCTGAGGCATGATCGCGATCTACAAATTGCCATCAGAAAATTCCATTCTCCGTGGATTTCAAAATATTTATATAGGTAATAACTGAGAGTACAATCGTATGGATACATGTAAAACGGACTGTAACTTCATGGATTATGGCCCCTGATTGTACGAAAAATCACGTCTTTAGCTTGTGAACACTGTAGAGGTTACAATTTTTATCCGATTTGGTTTAAACTTGACATGTATGTTTATAACCCACAGATCTCGGTTCCTTTCGATATTCGCGTTATCGGGCCATAACTTCCTGAATTATGGCCCCTTATTGTACGAAAAATCATGTTTTTTAGCTTGTGGACCCCGTAGAGGTCACAATTTTTATCCGATTTAAAAAAAAAACGTTACAATATATCACCGTTACACCCTAAGGATGGTTGAGTTCGAATTTCGTAAAAATCGGACAAAAACTGACGGACAAAATGGCCGCCCCTCGTTCGCAAATAGTGTCAAAATATTGTGTATCAGGATTGTGGACCCTCTGGAGGTCATAACTGAGGTAATAACTGAGAGTACAATCGTATGGATACATTGCCCTGTGAATTTCGGAAATTAATTGTGTTACCGACACCGAGAATCACGATTATAAAATTCTGAACAGTTTTTGCACACCGGAAATTATATTCAAAGAGAAATGGAAAGACATGGAACTATCTGCCGATAATTAAACCGATGTGCGGTATGATTTGTTGATAATAATTTTTGGTATTTATAAAAACACATAACGTTATATAGCCTACCTATTCAATGATTCAATGGCCTCGGACTATTAATTTTGCCGAGGAAAATGTAAAATACATCAGCATTTAAAGATTTACCTCGGCTACAGCAGATTGCCGAGGTTAATTGACAGGACTGCTTAAGTCCATCAGGAAATATTAAAGATATTCAAGGGTGAGATTCAAGGCCCGTAAAACGAATGTCGTTCTTTTTGTTCTGCACCTGTGTTCAAAAGAAATAATCCCACCCAACTCTCTAACAAATAATAGCTTAGCTTATTCATACACAAAATTCGAATTGTTGTAAAAGAGTCAAACATTCTCATCTGATTTTGATGAAACTTGAATTGTATGTTTATAACCCACAGATCTCGGCTACTTTCGTTATTCGCGCATATCGGACCATAACTTCCTGAATTATCACCCCTGATTGTACTGAAAATCGCGTTTTTAGCTTGTGGACCAGATAGAGGTCACAATTTTTATCCGATTTAAAAAATCGTTTGAATATATCACCATTACACACTAAGATCTTGGTTCCTTTTGATAATCTTGGATACCCGAACTTAACTTTCTGGATTATGGCCCTTGATTGTTCGAAAAATCGCATTTTTAGCTTGCAGATTGTCTAGAGGTCACAATTTTTTCCAATTTTAAAAACCGTTCTGCCATAATGAATTTGTATTTCGGGAAAATCGAAATGAAACTGCCCGACAAAATGGCCCCTCTCTGTACGCAAATTGTGTAGAAGTGTGTTATACGAAGGTTGTGGACCGTCTAGAGGTCACAATTTTTATCCGATTTTGATGAAACTTAAAACATATCTTTATATCCCAAAGATCTCTGTCCCTTTGGATATTTGCACATTTCAGGCCATAACTTTCTGGATTACTGCCCCTGATTGTACAAAAAATCCCTTTTGTTTTTAGCTTGTTCTCTATCCATCTCTTGCAAAATGTGGGCGTATCCTGCCTGGCAGCCGCTGGTTGTATTTCTCGATGTCCAAGTTCGTGATGAGTTCAATTTTACAAGAGATATCTTTTTTATTCGCTGGGATATTTAGTTGTACAGTTGATTTTATTTAACCGGGGGTAATTTCAAACACACAGGTAAGTTTATAATAACCAAATTTAAGTAGTTGGTTCTCATAATCGAAGAAATCCGTTTATAATTTACGACGGTTCAGACAGTAAGTCACGTTATGAATGGCTACTTTAGTCCAGCGCCGACAAAGGAATGTTTATGTCGACGAATAAAGAAGCCGAACAAATATTTTTCTTTTTGCTCCCCACACACGTCGAAGATGGTCCCGCAGATGATGAATGTTTTAGGTCGAACAATACACAGCAGACCCGCAGACGAATGTATGTGATCGCTGATTGGTGATGCGTGGCAAAAATGTTAAAATGTTCTGTGGATGTTCGGCTTCAATACAGACGACGAACAGAGTCCAAGTATGTAACACATTTGATTTCACGAGCAATTTGGTCGGAACAATGGTTTCATGAATGTTCGGATGAAATGTTACATAGTCTGCGTTCGGCTAGGGTTTTAGACAGCGGATGGAAATAAATTTGCATTACTTTTAATCCAAAATAGTATTTAAATAGATAAGAACAGAAAGCTGTGTATTGTCTATTCATTTATCGACACCATCCGTGATTGACGTCATGTATTCTCGGAAATTTCGTCGTATAACAATGGGGTATTGTTGAGGTTCTCAAACTTCTTTAAGCTTTCGCCCCCTTTGATGCTAATATAGTTGTTAAGCAAACCCACACCCACATCCCCACTCCATCCAGTCCCAGTTGGTTCGAGGGCCATAGCTACCCAGCCCACCCCTGATTTAGTAGATGATATCGTAACTAAACTGATGATTTTTCAAGATTTGAAAATATCAAATAAGAACTATCAATAAGCTTTAATAATTAATGGTCTATTTTAGTCGTTTGTGTCGTTATTTTTTGACAAACTTAACAATAAATTATTTATTACACATTTAATAAGCACAGACATTGGACCATTCAAGGGAACAAACTGGAATAGTTCGTGAGGACCAACTCTTTTCAGGTAAGATAGTACGTGCTAGGTGAACGTAACACTCATCTGGAAATGGGGCTGTTAAGCTAATAACCTAGTTTGACTGAATTCGCAATTTTTTCACTCTTGGTTAATTCATGAAAACTCGGACAAATATGGCTATCCCCCAAAAATCATTATAGGAAAAGAAACTGGCTTTCCGCAATTACACAAACGTTAGGAATAATCAAAAAATTTCAATTCATTTGTTTGCAATTGCCTTTTTATATCAATTTAAACCCCTAACCATGCAATAACTCTATTTGTATTGGGCTATTTAAGATATTTGGATTGATTTAGATAAGTTCTAATCGGTCTAACTGTGACAGACCAATTCTTCTGGCGTTACGCGATCAATCATTAATCAAATAACCCAGCTTTAATATCTACTAATAGTTTTAGCTCGGTGTTAATATCCTTTAGTCCACTGATTTAAACTTCTAATAGCATTTTTTTTTTTTACAGAAATTCAATATCATGGCACTGGTATTTTTAGCTTCTAAAGATGACCGAAATATCGGTCAAAATTAGCTGTTTATTAAGCATTGCATAAAGTTTCAAACCCAAACTTAAAAGTGAATACAGGAACCTTTTGCAAGAAATGTACATATCTCAGATAAATGCTAATTGATGATTCGTTCAACATGAAAGGTGCATCCGTGAAACTAACATTGCAATGGATTCATAGATAACACAAGTCAGAATCACTAACTTAAAAACAAAATTTGTGGTGGAGACACCAATTAGCGACTTTACTTTTTTTAACCCAGGTATGTTACACAAAACTACATGAACATGCAGTATACTGCTAGGCGCAAGTTTGAGATATAAGTATGACACAATTTCAAAAACATCGAAAATATTGCACCGCTTGAAGGCCACAGGTAATTAAAATTTTAATCAACATGAAAGGTGCGAGTGAGAAACCAGCCTGATGACACCAGAAATCATTATCACCAACTTCAGAATAAACTTTATAGTAGTCGGTGTACTAAAGAGAGAATGGCCCGTACTTTGAAATATAATTAACATGAAAGGTGCGACATTGGAACGAAGTATAAAATGAAGGGAATGATCATAGGATCCACAAACCACTGAGTCACGAACGTGTAGTTTGGTGGTAGATCAACAGCAGCCGGTGTGGCCAATACCCATTAAAAATCTGTGGCATGCAGTAACAAATGGCCGGAATGCTACGTGTCCTCTTGATCATTAGCAGTGATACATTGATAACCGCCCACTGCCATCATACTAATAGTCATTTAAAACAGAGATATATGTAATGTTATCGTCGACATCAATCAACTGAAACCTAACTTTCCTCTTCATCTGAGAAGAGACAACTGTCTTCATCAGAGAAAGCAATGTCGACGTTATGATCAGAGGTATCCTGATCAGATTCCTAAATATCCTCTTCAAACCATTCAGTTCAGGATCATTAAACCATGTGATATCATACTGTGATCTCAACTCCAACTATCTTCTGGCAATGGGTGATGGATAATCTAGCATGGGTGCCGTTCAGTTTCTCCTGAAGATTTTTTTTACATCTTGCCTTTGGTCAATAGTCTTCTCAAACACGGTGTAGCGAGGAGATTGCTTGTCCCCTAAACCCATACATGGTATCAGAGCTTCTTGATCCCCAACTGCTAGCTTTCCTAGGCATCGCCGAAAATGCCACCTGGGTCGCAGTGTCTTTTAGGGGATGTCCATATGACCGAAGCTATCCTTTTCTGTGAAAAGTTGAGGTAAAATCTGTCCCGGTGAGGGCGTGGAACCCTGGCAAAGCATCATAGATTGGTGGTCCAATGGCACGACTGATGGTGGTGATATCTACGTATCTTCGATTATTTTTGATGCCCTTGCAACAATACTGAAGAGGAACTTGCACCTTCCATCTTGAATATACAAATTTTTGGGGTACTATGGGTGGCGCCCTTACCACACCCACCACTGGCGCTACTTAAGAATTGGGTTTCTGGGCTCCCCTACCCGGGCCATACACCACTAGCAGCCCAATCGTTCTTCATTTCCCATTTGAACAAAACCTACCTAGTTCAAAGACTAAATAGGCGAAATTTTAGAAGCACACTCTATCTTGTGGCTATAAGGTGAAAGTTATCGAGATAACAAATGTCCAAAAATTTAAGCATAGAAAAATATTAAAGGCCTATACTGTTCTGTACCAACTTGGCTTACACCATGCAGAGGGTGGGTGGACGAATGGTTAACGCGTGCGCGTTGCATCATAAGATCTGTCATTGAATCAAGAGTAGGATCGCATGTCCAATCTCGTGGGTTTTCTCCGGGTCCTCGGGTTTCCTCCCACTGCTAAAAACTCCTACGCGCATATGTAAGTCCCGAAATGACCTAGTTTGTGTGAGTGGACGCCCCCCCCCCCCCTTCTCTCGAGATCTCTCTCATGCAGAGGTGGGTCTCGGTTTTACGTCCAACCGACAAGGGGAAAACAATCTGAACACCGGGATCGAACCCGGTACCCCCTGATTATTGAGACATCGCCATACTCACCGAACATTTTAAAGTGTACAGGACAGTAAATTTTACATATAAAAGAAGTGGTATTAAATGTTTTATAAATGGTAAACATACCCTGTCACGTGTACGGCATACGTCACTACTTGTATCTAACTTGGGTGGTAGGTTGGGCATAGATTTCAAATGCAGGTAGTTTTAATACAAGGGTACTATTCAAACAACACAGAGATAAAACGTTGGATCAATGAGCGTATTTCGATTTAGTTAGTAGAATTCATGGAGCGCATGGAATGCCTGTACACAAAATTATATACCCTGGTTAAGTCATAACTTAGATTGTAAATAATGTGATAATAGTGACATTTATTTTTGTTGTAAAATTCATAATGGGAAACTTAAGACAGCGAATTTTGATTTGTGAACAAGGTGTTGAAAGTAAATCAATTTTCGCTGATGAATTGTGCAGAAATAGTAATATTAGACACGCAATTCAGAGGTTTTATTTTATTAGAATATCAATAATGATTACAAACTGGATGCATCTTCCAAGAAATGAAAGACAACTACTTCGACACCACAGGTCACAATATTCTATGGACAATAAATAATTACTGTTTTACTGTTTATTACTGAGCGGCGTTTTCATAAAATATAAAATGTAACGAGATAATACTATTATATACATGTATAAAAACAATAATGCTGACCAACCAGTAATTGTTTATTCCATAGAATGGTGACCTGTGTATTCCAATTCAATTACTAAATCCCTTTGAAACAACTACTTCGATCTTGTGTTATTGCATTGGTGGACTAGTCCGGTAATCAGTTCTCGTCAAGTAAAAGTAACAAGGGCCATTGAACTGGATACAAATACTGCCAAAGCGCTGCTAAAACGGGGCTACGGAAAGAATATTTTATATCCTTTCGAAGCTGCTCATAATAGCACACGAGCGATCGCGATCGCCTACGTCACATGTGGGGATCACAGACTCCGCCCATTGCGGCGCTAGACCCATGAGTGTAACTTCATCTGGGCCTGTCTAACCTGTGCTGTAAATACTGCCAAAAACAATTTGTAGTTGCAGGACTTAACACCCAGTCTGCTATTGAATTGAAATATCCCATATTTAGCCCCAAAGAATATGATCTAATTTCTGTTGATTGAACGCTCTCTCTCTCTCTTTAGGTTCAGAAAAGTGGGACGTAAACCTCTTTCCATTTCATCTTTCACAATTACCAACATCTAGAAGGTTTTTTTTTAACAAACTTACGAACAATTATAGATACGCGGAAACGGTATGTGTGAAACGAAATAAACGAACCTTTTAGAACACAAGTCGGTTAATAGAGATTAATGGTTATACAGCACATTTAGATATATTTTGGTCCTTGCTCGCGTAACATCATAAGGTCTGTCATTGAGTCAAGTGGAGTGGTTTCGAATCGAATCGATTCTCCTCTTGTACTTGACAAGGAGTAGGGTCGCCTATCCAACCCCGAGGGTTTTTTCCAGGTCTTCCGGTTACCTCTCATATCTAAAGACCCCTACGCGCACGCGAATTATTTAAATATAATTGAACCAGGTTAGTCCCGACATAACCCAGTGCGTGGCGAGTGGACATAAAACTCTCTCTCACTCTTTCCTGGGGTTCATTTTATGATTGGAGAGACCACCGTCTTAAGGCTAAGTTTTATACGCCCACATTTTCATGTAGACGTATATGGTCGTCGCTCCTGTCCGTCTGGACGCCCGTACACAATCTGTTTGTGGACACTCTACAGGTCACAATTCTTATCCGATTTTGACGAAACTTAAAATATCGGTTTACCTCCCAAAGATTTCGGTTCCTTTCGATACTGGCATGTATTGGGTCAAAACTTCATGGATTACTGGCCCATGTTTGCACGAAAAATCACATTTTTAGCTTGTGGACACTCTAGAGATCACAACTTTTATCCGATTTAGATGAGACTTGAAATGTATGTTTATAACCCAAAGATCTCGGTTCCTGGATTATGGCCCCTGATTGTACGAAAAATCGCGTTTAAGCTTGGGGCCGACCTAAAGGTCACAATTTTTATACGATTTAAAAAAAAACAACGTTCAAATATATTACTGTTACACCATAATGATGATTTGGTTCGAATTTCGCGAAAGTCGGACCGAACCTCTCGGATAAGATGACCGCTCTAGGTATGCAAATAGTGTTAAAGTATGCGTAATATCAAAGTTGTTGACCCTCTAGAGGTCACAGTTTGGATCTGATTTTGAAGAAACTTAAAACATGTGTTTATGTCCCAAAGATCTCTGTTCCTTTCGATATTCGCGCATATTGAAACTGGATTGTACGAAAAAATCGCGATTTTAGCTTGTGGACCCTCTATAGTTCACAATTTTTATCCGATTTTGAAAGTCGTTTAAACATATCGCCGTTTTACCCTGGTGATGACTGAGTTCGAATTTCGTAAAAATCGATCCGAAACTGTCCGTTAAAATGGCCGCTTCTTGAACCCAAATAGTGTACAACTATGTAATAGCAAGTTCGTGAACCTGCTACAGGTCACAATTTTTGTCCGATTTTGATAAAACTTGAAATATATGTTTATATCCCCAAGATCTCTGTTCCTTTCGATATTCACGCATATCGGATCGTAACTTCCTGGATTATGGCCCCCGATTGTACAAAAAATCCAATTTTAGCTTGTGGACCCTCTAGAGTTCACAATTTTTATCCGATTTTAAAACACGTTTAAACATATCACTATCAAACTGTGGGATAAAATGGTTCCTCCTTGTATGCAAATAGTCTAAAAGTATGTAATACCAATGTTGTGGACCCTCTAGAAGTCACATTTTTTATTCGATTTCGATGAAACTTAAACTTTAAATGTATGTTAATATCACAAAGATCTCGGTTCCTTTCGATAATCGCGCATATCGAAATGTAACTTCTTGGATTATGGCCCCTCATTGTTTGAAAAATCACATTTTTAGATTATGGACCCTCTAGAAGTTACAGTTTGTATTCATTTTTAAAAACAATTTCAATGTATGACCGTTACAATTCGGTGAAGGCTGAGTTTGAATTTGGTATAAATCTGACCGAAATGGCCGCTCCTTATACGCAAATACATGTAGTCCAAAAGTATGTAATACCAAGGTGGTGGACCCTCTAGTAGTGACAAATTTTAATTCGATTTGATGAAACTTGAAATGTATGTTTATAACCCAAAGATCTAGGTTCCTCTCGAAATTCGCGCATATCAGACCGTAACTTCCTGGATTATGACCCCTGACTGTACGAAAAATCGCGTTTTTTAGCTTGTGGAACCTCTAGAGGTCACAATTTTTATCTGATTTAAAAAACTGTTTAGATATATCACCCTTACACACTAATGACAAAATGGCTGCTACTTGTACGCAAAAAGTATGTAATATCAAGGTTGTGGACCCTCTAGAAGTCACAGTTTTTATCCGATCTTGATGAAACTTAAAATATATGTTTATATCCAAAAGATTTTTGCGCCTTTCTATATTCGTACATATCGGACAGTAACTTCCTGGATTATGGCTCCTGATTGTACACAAAATCTCTTTCTTTTTTTTTAGTTTTTCCTCTGTCCATCTCTTGCAAAATGTGGGCCTATCTTGCATGGCAACCGTTGGTTCTATTAACTATAATTAAAGGCCTTTATATTAATTATATTTATGAGAACATTGTAATTAATTACACAAAATCTAAACATGTCTGGTTTATAAGAATAAAAGGAATGTAATCCGAGTAATCCACTAATAACACGATAATCCCTCGACAAGTATACACGTTTTTATATTCAATTACACGTTATAGACACATTTAATCATTTGATCTGAATTAAGGCTGGGGGTGTTCAGCCGTAAAGCTAGCATAACTATAACAAAATAACAATAGGCGCTTAGAAGCGTGGCGCTTTACAACCGCGTTGCTGTTGAATACGCATGTCTAATCCCCCTGGTACTTGGATACCAGTGTATTGTTTTAGCTTATGTTCGATATCACTTATTTGTAAAGCGGACGTTAAACCAAACAGTTACATTTGAAACAAGTAGCTGACACCCTAAGAATCAGTAGTGTTTAGCTGATGCAGTGAAACATGAGCATTGTTTAATAATTTAAATTAATTTTCAACTGATAAACATTTCAAATGGCGGATATGGACGAAGAATATAAAATTCCGTCAGGAAACTGGATGGCTCGTAAACTTCGCTTGATCAACGGCAACAGTGCAGAACTTTTCCCGCCTAAAACAGCTTGCTCCAGACGATCGTACAAGAAATACGACACCATTTATAAAATTGAGTTTAAAGACGAAGATAAAAAACATGAGTATCAAAAGGTGAGTGGTGTTCTTATAAAACAATATAACCATATACTTTGGTAACAACAGGCTTAAAGGGGCGATATTTCAGATGTTTTACAGGCATTTAACTTAAATTACAACAAAAGCATATAATTTAAAGTGCAACACAAGCATTTAACTTAAAGTACGAAACAAACATCTAACTTAAAGTACAACACAAACATCTAACTACACAAACATCTAACTTAAAGTACAACACAAACATCTAACTTAAAGTACAACACAATCATCTAAAAATTATTTGCTATTGAACTGTTAAGGCTGTAAGTGTACATAACCTAGACTTTTGCGCTTTAAGGGCAGGTGGGAGGCGGGTGGGGGGGACTTGCAAGGGATAGCATCTAGTCGTTCGGGTCGAACACATTTAAAGCTCCGACAATTGGACTTACCGAACGTTGGTAGGCGGGAACTTTGCCCAAAGTGTATATTCTGGATTGTCAAGTACCATTGTCACGATAATAAACGAAGTCTCGGTCGATTATCTATCTTTTCACGTCAGTGAAAATGTCGACTTGGTCGGCTATATTAGGGTTTAACGCAGTCACGGAGGACATTGTCCAATCCAGTAAATATCTGAGCCATACGATGATGATCTAGAGAGTTGATTATGGGCTTACCATGTGGATAAATGTCTAGATAATAATTTATAAGCCAGAAAAAAACACCCGCCAATAAGCAAACTTAACTCTATCGTAATGTCACTTTAATAATTTTTAATCATTTATTCATTTATAAGACACCCAAAATTTAGCTAAAAGCTCCATGATAGCGCCATTTTTGTTAATACCTCACAGCCTTTACGTTTCACAAGAACAATAAATTCAACTACATTAAATATTCTCCTATTTACATGTTATTCTGTCTGATCACTGACCTGTAACATAATGCACTGGCTGTTTTCGACGCTTTTTCTGATCTTTAGATTTTCTTAAGATTGCGATTCATGTAACAGACTTTCGTAACAGGCATTATCCAAGAATTCAAAACTTTTTTTAAAACATAATGCAAGTAACACTTTATGATAATTGTGTTCCATTTTTTGCAGCATTTTGAACCAAAGAGAGAAACGGTACAAGATATCATGTTTTCGGGTGGTCTAGATACAGCACAGGTGAGTTCATATAATAGTTATAACTTATAGGGACAGGGGAAAGCGGGTGGGGGTGAAGTCCATTTGGATTTTCCGTCGTGGTGCCACCTTGTCAGTGGTGTAGGAAAGGGGGAGGGGCTGATGATGGACAACGTATCACCACTCGGATAGGACGACAAACCTAGGTCCCGTGTACACATTGGTGTGCACGTAAAAGAACCCTTGACAATTGGAATTTGAAATAAAAGTAGGCATTAGCACCGCTATCCGTGCAAAATTTCACTCATAGCACACTGTATGACATATGCCCGTATTCATTATCCCAGTCGATGTAGAACAATAGGGCGTTAAAACTCACTTCATTTCATTTCGAGGCCCGACGTGGGCCGACGCGAGGGGTATCCGGAGATTGTTCAAGACCGGTTCCTACTTGTCCGAGGTAGTGCTCGTGGGCTGACAAATGTTGTCTAGTCTTTGGATGTAACGAAAAAAGCGAGGTTCTTACTACCATTCCTTGCGTGATCTTAAAAAAAATAACCACATGTAAGTCTCAGACTGTGTTGACGAAAAGTTGATGCCCGTTCCTCTACTGATGTAGGACACTGCACTTTAGAAATGAATATTGGTTATTAGAAAATGGGCAGGTACAACTACGTTAAAGTTAAAGATACATTATGGAAGATTAGTGAAAGAGCTGGCAGTTATCACTATAATAGTTAAAAACTAGATAATGTAAAGGGAATATGCTAAAAATTTCAAGGAAGCTACGTTAGAAAACTATTTAACTTAAAGGGGGTATGGGAATTGGGGGGGGGGGGCATTATGTTGGATTAGGAATATGGTTGGGTATAAACCCTATAAACAATAGAATAACGACATCATATTATAATAGTGGGCTTTAGTATTTTACTTGGTCAACGCAAATAAATTCTAAAACTGATTAAAATTGACTGTACGATAAACAAAGAAATCGGCACCTACAGACAGTAGACAGTACGCCTCACAATGTTTGCTGGTCTTTATTCCAGATTAAATACCACATATAGACTTTCAGTCAATACACATTAAAAAGAAATCTTATTAAAAACCATATTGGTTTAAACACACTAAAATCCATCAATCTTAACATAAGATATTGTCATCTAAAGTTCATATTACTTTCTTTTTCTGTCTTAGGACTTAACAGGCAACTAAAGTATAACTAGTTTCTGACTCAGAACATCGAAGTCAAGATGGTACCTAACCTAAACTGTTTTATTTGATTGTTTAAATTATTATCTAAACAAGCCTTCTCAACCCATATAAATAAGGAAAATCTCTTTCAATTGAATGTTTGATTAACAATGAATTAACGGTATAGTATATCTATTGTATATACTTATATCACTAATCCATACCTGTGTAATATGAATCTTGCACATGTATATTACACGACTTGCCTGTTAATCTGCCAAAATAAACCTATGTCTAAATATAGATTTAAAACACAATATTCGAGACTATGAGTGTCAAGTAAAAATAATATAATTATTAAATACTTAACCAACAACATATGTGTCCATAAATATTAATTTAATCATTCAATTTTCTTCATAGATAAAAAAAAATCAAATCAAATCAAAATAAAATGCTCATTATGTTCGCGAATCTTGACAGGATTATCAAGACGGATAACACAGGAAATTGAATATTATCATACTCAAGTGTTTTCTCCATAGCTACGGTAAAGATAGCTGTCTAGATTTAGACTTTAAAATGTTTGTGTAGTTTATAGTTTATTGATTACACCATAGGAAATGTTTATGAGTCTGTAGGAGGTTATGAATAAGACAAGACAAGGTAAGAAAGTGTTATGCTTGTTTGCTAACAAATAATGTTACATAGGGATAATCCACTTAATCCATCTCGATTCTCAGACACGAAACAAGCGGATAATCTTTCCGAATATCTGCCGGGGATCAACGGTCAAGCGTTCGAGGTGTTGTTGTCAGGGTCAGTGACGGATTTAGATGAAGAGTGGTCCTTGGCTATTCCACTTATGAGGCCCCTCCCAATCCCCCACTCTCACGACTAGAGGAAGATGAAAGTGCGCAATTGATCAAAGCCGCTGATGATGGTTGTGTTTATGGGGATATCATTCAAGAGCTTAATCTGTCTATTATATGTATTTCTTTAGGCTTAGAATTAGACATGTATTAATATGACAAGACCATAATTAACTCTCGATGTCATCGGATGACTCCGATTGTAAGTAGATTGGATCGGTTCGCCATTTGATGACTTAATTTTGAAAATGGAGATGCGTGCAAAGTCTCGAATAACCAGCATCGTGGTAACGATAATAAATAACCAATGCACACACCTTGTCAAAACTACAAACATTGATAACTTCGCTCAGAATAAAGTAATTTGAATACAATTTTCAATATATTAATTTTGCATTATCTATTTGTGAATTACTATAGCAAGAACGTTCAGCTCTTTATTTAAATCTTAAATAATGTTTCGTTAAGACTATACAGTTCGGTGTATGACAAAATATTATACACCTTAGTGATCGGCCCCGTGGATCTAGAGGCCTAAGAGGTAACCCCAGCACAGATCTTTCTAGAACATCCCAAACCATATTTTTGGTTCCTACGGGGCTAATTAGTTCGAGGGTCGAAAAGTAGTTATCGACTGTATTGTATTGTTTTGACATGGTTGCCAGTACAACCTTGCTTATTCTAGAACATTCGATACCACTTCTCATTTAGTGCCGTCATATAGAAAAGCACTATAATATTAAGAGAAACGTCTTTGCTTATACCTCTATATTCTAAAATGGGAGAACACGGGGTGTGGTTCTTGCTTGATGAGTTAAAGCAAATTACGACCACATTTTCGAGTAAACGGAGTTACATACTTCGTTACACTTGTACAGGGTTATACCCCAGGGATACCCGAGTGTTCTTCGGCAAAGTTCCTCCATGGACTTTTCTAGCGTGGTTTTCCATTGTCAGTGGGTTCAGGACCATCGACCCGACAAGGACAGATTCTAGTAGTTCGGATGGGACGAGAAATCGATGTCCCGTGCAGGTAAATGACCATTGGCTGTTGGAATTCGAAATAATAGTAGGCCGTAGTGAAACTGTTTGGGCAAAAACTTCAATCACACGTGAAGTACATCCATCTTCATTAGCCCAGTCGGTGCAGGAAAGTCTGACGTTGAACCCTAACGGAGTTAAGCAATCGCAATACCTCGTTTGGTCATGGCCTGACATTACACCTATGTTGGACGGACTATAAAATTTATTAGCTAACTTGAACAGATCAATAATTAGTAAAGAAAATAACTGACATTGCATGGAACTTATCCACACTAGACGGTTTATTGAGTTGACCGAGCGTAAGCCCAATTACTCGGGGATTATCTAGTCCTAAATTGTCTTTCCTTCTGTCTGGCCACAGATCACCATATTTCCGCATTAACATTAATGTTTATTATCATCTCTTTCGCCGGCTCTAAATTGCCCCCACATTTTGTTAGGTTGACAAATGTAGCAGTATGTGGTCATGTCTAGTTTAAAACAATGTATGAGGTTCACCATGGGGATCTTCAAGTACGAATGCACCGGCTACCAATAAAATGTAGGCCTAACTACCAGTCCTACCTTTCAACGTAACACACTAACAACCTCTTAACTCTGTAAACATGAATTTTCGCCAAAACTTGGCACAATATGTGAATTAAAACTCTACTCTTCGATCCGATACTCCGTGCAAATTGGTAGAGTTTGAGTGGTGGTGGTGGGGGGGGGGGGGGCTTTATCGATAAAAGAAACCGATTGAGGATAATTAATGGTGGTCTGTGTCCCTCTGATTTAACCCTTCCCTTTGTGTAAATTCAAAGATCTCTGCCCTGTTTGACCGCCACATTCAAAAATTAGTATACTATTTAGTAATGTGTAGTAATATGGATGACGGGATTTGTGCAAAAGAACACATATGTATAATAATATTATGGCATTTACTAATTAATCTCCTTTGTCAGTATATTAGTTATGATATGAGTTTATTTTAAAACGCAAATTTAATTGTTTATGAAATATTGTGACAATAACAGGACATTGGGGTCTAAGGACAAAGATAAATTCTATTGTCTATTACACTTTTGTGTGGAATATTACATTCCATATTTAGCTTAGTCATGTGTTCATTAGGCTTAGTAACCAATCATCATAATTAATTACGTCATATTTGACCAATTAAATAATAGATAGCAAAAGTCAAGGCATATACAATGCTTGCTGGGTAATTCTTTAGATCACCAGAGAGTTTGTTGGGATCCAGAGATCGACAGAATGACATTATTTTTTATCTATGCTTGTAATCTATGTATCCAGCTTGATATAAAACTGTAGTAACCGTACTTTTGCTCCTGTCATCTTGTTTAGGACTGATAACGTGGGATGTCAGAATCTATATGTCACCATTTAACATACACAAATTAAAGAATTCATACGAAACGGATAAAGATTGAGTATTTACAATAATTACAATCTCTCGTCGAGTTGTAGCCCCCCCCCCCTCCCCTCGATATCAGTTTAAAAGTTTCTTTCTACGCCTTAAGTAAGCGTGTGTCAGAAATCGTAGCACATCGTCGCGGTAGAATATTCATTAGGTATATAAATCTGTCATTATTTTGCTTTTGTGAGAATTATAAATATAATATCGCTTCATTAAACCAGTATTGTCGTAGATCGCTGTATAAGGAACAGTTTAAAATAAAAAAAATAGTACAGAAAGGTAAGATCGATACACAGGGACTTGTTACATAGATATAAATGTCACAATAAATATAAATGAACAAACATGTGTAAATTCGTTTATGTACACACACGTACATCCATCGTTTTTAAATATGTATTCCATTTTACTTGTCAATGTTTCAAATAATAATATTTGAATAACTCAAATACATGTCATTGATGGATTCATCAAGTTCCGCTTTAATTACATTTACTTTCGTTTTGACATCA